TATTTGACTGCCATCTTCACGCAGCTGCTGAGCTCATTCATCTCTCAGCCGCGGCATGCCGCCGCGTACGCCCGCGCGCGCGTCGACCTCGCGTTCGGAGATCCGTCGGAGCATCGCAGCCGATCTCCTGAACCTAACATGACGCGTGAAGCGTGAAAACGCACAGCCTCGCAGGGGTCAGCTGATGAAGAGTCGTCAGTCGTGACTCTCATCTGTCCTTCTTGCCCTTGCGTAACGTGACATCCACCGCACCGACGCAATCCTGAACTCAAGATGATTGCCTAACACACTCTTCCTCAAACTCCTCACGCTGCTTCATCCTTGCTCGAAATTCAATAGGCCTCGACCACCATTCAAATAGAGTCCTCGCTCCTTCCGACGCTTGCCTCCCGTCCCGCCCCCCGACCTTTCGTATGCGCACACAGCAATCTGCGAAAGTGGATGCATTCGCGACTGAGCAGCCTCCAGCGCTTCAAGCCTGCATCACTCCAACAGTACCTCACCATGGCCACCACCGCTGCTTCACCATCCGCCGCAGCGTCGGCAAGCTCAACCGCTTTCCAAGCGCCACCCATCCCCACTACCTGGCGTTCCTCTCTCAATGCTTGGTTCCGCGGAGTACAGCGGGACACGGCCGCAGCCGAGTTGCACCTCTACAGCATGTCCACACCCTACTTTAGATCTGCAACACTCGACAATGCTCCCAACGCTCCTCTGGACGTTGCTCATGCAGCAGCTGCGGGCAAAGTATCCGGAGGTGGACACGCCACGGATTTGGATACCGATGGACATGCGGGTAGAGCAACTACGGGAGCTGAGTTGGCTGCGGATGGGAAGGTGGGAAGCATCAGATTGGTGGATATCGGTCCAGAGAGGCATAAGAAGCCAATTTCTGGTATTGGCAGCTGGCTAGGCCGCAAAGAGACCCCTCGTCTGGTCAACATGCTCGAGATCGGCACGCCCCAGACTCGAGAATCGGAAGAGAAGGTCATCTTGCTACATGGCTACGGAGCAGGTGAGCACATAGCCGCACAGCGTATTTTTCAGACTCCGTTTCTGACAGCTCGAGCTGCTGCGCATCTTCTCGTCTAGGCACTGCATTCTACTTTCAGAACCTAGAAGCTATTTCGCAGCATCCAAATTCGCGCCTGTATGCGCTCGATTGGCTCGGTATGGGTCGCTCTGCACGCGTTCCGTTCGACGTGCCCAAGTCAGCGCAGGCGAATACGGATACGAGAGTCGAAGCAGCTGAATCCTTCTTCACTGACAGTCTCGAGGATTGGAGAGAAGTGATGGGACTGGAGAAGATGACCTTGGTGGGACACAGCCTGGGAGGATACTTGAGCATTGCGTACACCCTCAAATACCCCGAGCGAGTCAATCGGCTGGTGTTGATCTCGCCTGCTGGCATAGGGGCGGGTGAGTACTGATTATCTGCTTTACAAATGGGATGTAACCTCAATGCGCACTGAAGCTGATTGGCTTGCCTCATTTGTAGATCCAGACAGGGGCGAGGAGACGTTCGCACCCAAGAACGAAGCCAAGCAGGAGCACGACACGCATTCGAGTCGGCAGCGCGAGTGGAGTGGCAACACGGAGTTGTCGAACAGCGAGCCAGATGCCGTCGTTGCCGAAGTGCGGACGCAACAAGCAGACGTCGCTCCTTCCACTTCCACAATGGCTGCAGAAGATGCACGTCGCGTTGCCGAAAAAGCGGAAGCAGCTGGCAAAAAGGCTAGCGAAGGAACCTCAGCCAAAGACGATGGCGAATATCAACACAATCCCCCGCCCAGACTCGGGAAGCGCAGAAGACAGATCCTCACCACCTTGTGGGACGCTAACTTTTCGCCTTTCGGATTGCTTAGGAATTCCTTCTTCTTTGGTCCTATGCTAGCAGGTAGATATACCTCGAGGAGGTTCGGAGCGCTCAGTGATGAGCAACTGCGCACGATGCACTCTTACACTGCCGGAATCTTCATGGCGCGGGGCTCGTCGGAATATGCGCTCGCTCATCTGCTCGCTCCTGGCGCTTACGCCCGCAAACCTATGGTGGACCGCATTGCGCCAATCAAAGTGCCTGTCAGCTTCATGTACGGAGAACACGACTGGATGGACATCCAAGGAGGAAAAGAAGCGGTGCAACGGTTGAAGGATGCTGGGAACGCGCACGGAAGCGTATTCTGTGTACCTCATGCAGGTCATCACATCACCCTTGACAATCCTCGCGCAAGCAACACCCTGATCCGAAAGATCTTGCTGGGACAAGCCGACGTAGCTGCGAAAGAAGGTCGCCGCCTCCGGGTAGGAAGCGGATTCAGCAGCGATAGTGAGACCATTTAGAAACATGCACATTAATTGCCATCCGCGTGGAACCACTCCTCAGCACTACCTTCAGTACTCGCTCCCCTTTGCGCTCGCTTGGTCACCGTCATGCAATACACGTAGAGGAACTGCATACATAAATTCGCAACTACGGATCGTCTTTGCTCGATTGGCTGCGCACTCTGATTTTGACTTGATGCGTAGCGGAGTGCGCACGACGCCAAGATCGGACTGCGGCTTTTGTTGTGCAACGGTCAGCTTAGAGGTACATGATGCAGCTTGCGCGCCTTCATCCAATCGTCACTCATGACTCTGGACGCTCACGAGCGAGCTTTCGCAGACCATGACATGCTGCTGGCTCTGAATCGTGATGCCAAAAGATGCGACACAGGAGTTTTACATTCGCAAGCTCAGTCGGGGGCATCCGTCTTGAGGGCCTGCTTGCTTCCGTTGACAGTGGGGAATCTCTTCTGTCTTTGTGTACCTCCTGTTTTGCCCCATCAAATGAGCCACATCAGCTCCAGCTCCGCTACCACCTCGCGTACCTCCTCTCCGACGCCCGGCCCCTTGTACCACGCGTCGCAGCACCATGCAGCTTTTCCACTTCATAAAAGCCTTCGCTTTGTGGGCCAAGGGTAAGTACGCTTCTCTAAAAAGGGACAAATGCACGTTGGGCAAACTTTCGGCGCCCAGCCTCCTTCTCTTTCGCATGCGCTCTCGCCACAGAGTTGACATTTGATGGTGCTCATCGGTTCCTCATACCAAAGTCGGCGAGGTCCTCACACAGATCTACGTGATCCTGGATGCAGACGCTCGTACCGTCCCCTTCACAAAAACGATGCAAATAGAGCCACAGCGTCACGCCCAATTCTCTGCGCACAAAAGTCTGGACACTTGAAGATAGGTAAGGGCCCATCGCCCCATCATCTATTCCTGGCTCTTCTGTTTCTTCGCAGGCTTCGACGCGCCTTTGGTCTGCGCCGAAGGCTGTCCTTTTTGTGCAGCCTTCGCTTTTTTGCTT